GACCTGGAGAGGGCGCCCCGCGGGTCGTTGGAGGGGTCTTTTTCGACTCCTGGGAGGGCCAAAAAACGACGACCCTCACGAGGATTCTGGCCCCGAGGGGGGGGAGGGAGTTTGGTCCCTGAACTCGTCGTTGAAGTAAAAAACATTGATTTTACTACGGTTTTGGCCCCATTTTGGCCTTCTGAGGGGGCCGCGTTCCTCGCCCTTCTTAGCAAAATCATTGATTTTACTAAGGTTTTGGGCTGATTTTGTCCTTCTCAGGGGTCAGCGCTTATTAGCGCTTCTGAGGAGATCGCCAGAGACCCCAAGATAGCCCCAAGAGGCCCCCAGGAGGCTCCCAAGAGGCCCCCAGGAGGCCCCCAAGAGGCCCCCCAGAGGCCCCTAGAGGTCCCCTCGAGGCTCCCAAGAGGCCCCCAAGAGGCCCCAAGAGGCTCCAAGAGGCCCCCAAGACGCCCCCAAGAGGCCCCCAAGAGGCCCCCCAGACGCCCCAAGAGCTCCAAGAGGCCCCCAACAGGCCCAACGAGGAGCCCGAACGACTCACACCAGGACGAAAGACCCCAACGACTCACACCACGAGGAGCCCGAACGAGTCACACCACAAGGAAGGGCCCGAACGCCTCACACCAAGACGAGGCGCCCGAACGACTCACACCACGAGGAGCCCGAACGACTCACACCAGGACGAGGGGCCCGAACGACTCCCACCACGAGGAACTCGAACGACTCACACACAAGGAGGGGCCCGAACGACGCACACCAGGACGAGGGGCCCGAACGACTCACACCACAAGGAGCCCCAACGACTCACATACAATGCGGGGCCCGAACCACTCACCCCAGGACGAGGGGCCCCAACGACGAACACCACGAGGAGCCCGAACAACTTACACACAAGGAGGGGCCCGAGCGACGCACACCAGGACGAGCGGTCCGAACGACTCACACCACGAGGAGCCCGAACGACTCACACGCAAGGAGGCGCCCGAACGACTCACACCAGGACGAGGGGCCCGAACGACTCACACCATGAGGAGCCCGAAGGACTCACACACAAGGAGGGGCCCGAACGACGCACACCACGAGGAGCCCGAACGACTCACACCACGACGCGGGCCTCGAACGACTCACACCACGAGGAGCCCGAACGAGTCACACCAGGATGACGGGCAGCGCTCATACAAGCCCCCCACGATGGCCCCCAGAGGTCCACCAGATGGCCCCTAGAGTTCCCCAAATGGCCCACAAGAGGTCCCCAGGAGGCACCACGAGGCCTCATGTTTCGCAAGAGTTGTTGTTTTGAGATGGGCTGGTGGGGATACGCGAAGCGTGAAGAATTCCTGGTGTTTTGGCCAGCTGCCAAGCGCCCTCGGCAACAGAATGGCTAACTGCGGAGGGCGCAGTGCTCCGCCGTGGGCAGGCGAGGCCACTGGGGCACCGGCTGCGCCTCGTGCGCCGTGATCGAGAGGGCTCGCTCGTGATTCGGCTCGGGGGCCCAAACACAAGCGCGCAAGACGCTACTATCGCAACGCGTTCGGCGAAATCGCGTTCGGCGAACGGGGGGACCCCAGTGGGCCCGCACCAAAGGTCACTCCAGCGAAGGGTCACTCCTACGTGAAGTCGAGTGATGGGCGTTGGCCGCGGTCTGTGCTACCAGAGGGCGAGGCCGCAGTCTGCTTCGCGCGCCGTTCCCACTTTTTCCAGCGTGGGCGCCCACCGCAGGCCCCCCCCCCGTGCCGGCGGGGCCGAGGACGTGGCCCAAAGCTTCCAGGAAGGGAGCGGTGCAGAACCGCGCCCAGGCCGCCGAGAGCGCCGGGAAGTCCAGGACCCAGACGGCCAAGGCGCTGCTCGGATGCAACGTCCATCGCGCGACTCTTCGAGTCTGAGCGTGCCTCAGTCCTCTGTGCTGAACCTGCTCTAGCGCCCCCTACGCGCCGACAGGCTGGTCCCGGGCAGGCTGTGCTGCCCGGCGGAAGGGGAAGAGGAGGGGAGAAGCAAGCAAACGACGACGAACGCGAAGGCGGGAGGCTAGGGCCGGCGGGGCAGGCGGGCAGGCGGAAGAGGGGCCGGGCGGAGACAGCAGATCGGGAGCAGGAGGAAAGGACATGGAGGGAGGCAAGGAAGAGGAGGAGAGGGGAAGCAACCGCAAGTAGACAGGCAGTGACGGAGCGCAGCCTCTGAGCGAGGCTGGCCCAACGCAAGTCGTCCTGGGGACTCGCTGCGAAGTGTTCATGCCAGGGGGCCTGCAGGTTAAAACTGAGCATATCGTAGATGATGAGGGGTCTTCACCCGCTGCGCTCACCCCTGAACCATCACCCTGCGCTGGATGTCAATGGCGCCGTCCACGAAGCTTGGGCTTACATTGACCAACCCACCGCTGCCGTACACTCAACAGATACAAAACTGCGATATCGATGCCCCCGCCAACCTCATCCAGTCCTCAAACCTGGCCCGCGAGCTGTGGGCCTCCTGGATGCCGACCACGCCTTCGCCCTGCCACCATCGTCGAAGGTTGTCCGCCGTCTCGATCGCCGTGGTGGGGTGGGCCATGCTGCATGGAGGCGTGGAGCATGGCCTGATGACCACCCCGGAACTGCCCGAAGTTTTCCACCGAACCGCCCACCATCGTCGGGGGCGCAGGCGGGCTGAGCAGCAGCGGCCATGGCACCACGGTCAAGGTCAAGAGCCCGCACACTGATGTCCTTCCACCGGATGCGCGGTGCAGAGGCGGGGCCGTCGACCTGCGCCTTGACGAGCTGCCTGGAGTTCTTGCCGAAGACAGCCTCCAGCTGCCAACGTGAACTCTGCACTCGCCAAGGAATGGGGGATGACAAGCTAGAGCTTTTCTACGGCCGGTTCGACCGATATTTGCCTGGGCCAGCTAGAGCTTTTCTACGGCCGGTTCGACCGATATTTGCCTGGGCCAATGGACATTTCAACGGACTCGCCGCCAGGTGGTCGGCACGAGAGGCGGCGCCACTCGGACGGCCCAGTCTTCATCGCCCCGAGGATCTTGCGCTCGCGCGCGCCTCGAGGCTAGGTTCATCTCACCTTCGACGCGACAGACGGACCTCTGCGCCAGCGCCTGGCCCTCTAGATCCAGCGCGTCAGGGGAGTTCACAACCTGGCCATCTGCGAGGAGGGACGCGAGCGTGGAAGGCAGAGACATGAGGGTCGGGGGCCCGAAACCACGAGGGGGCGTTCGGTGGAGGGGCTCCCTGGACTGCGTGACGCCGAGCTCGAGGCGCAGCTTTTCCACTATTAAAAACCGCCGATGCTATAAGTATGGCCTGACACGCCACGGGCGCTCAGTCGAACCATTTCGGAGTCCGAATGGGCGGAGAGAGAGAAGTGAGAGAGGAAGGCGGGAGAAAGGAAGAGAGAAAGAAGCGCGGAGTCATGAAAAGAATGAGGAAGCAGCAGGGAGGAAAGGAGAAGGAAAGGAATAATGAAAGAGCAGGGGCAGGGAGGGAGGGAGGTCGCCAGTACGAACCAGGAAAGACAAGCTGATCGTCGCCGTCCTCTTCCCGTCCTCCTCCCTTCTCCCACTCCCTCCCTCCCCTCTCTCCTCTCCCTCTCTACTATTCCCTCCCTCCCCCTACTACTCCCTCCCTCCTCTCCCTCCTCCTGCCTGCCGCATCCTCCCCCCCCGACTCTTAGCTCGCGCCGCGAGCTCGAGCCGCCGGGCCGCTCCCGCGGCCGCCCACGCCCCTGCGGCGCCACCCGGGCGCCTGGGCCAGGCCTCGGCGGGCAGGAGGAAGAGGCACAGAGCAAGAGAGGTAGAGAAAGAGAGAGGGGGGGAAAGAGAGAGAGAGGGGGGGGAGAGAAGGAGAGGGAGAAGGAGAGGGAGAGAGGAGAAAGAGGAGTGAGAGGAGGAGGAGGAGGAGGAGGAGGAGGAGGAGGAGGAGGAGGAGGAGGAGGAGGAGGAGGAGGAGGAGGAGGAGGAGGAGGGAGGAGGAAGAGGAGGAGGAGGAAGAGGAGGAAGAGGAGGAGGAGGAGGAGGAGGAGGAGACGGCGCAACCTCCGTAGAGGTGCAACCGCGAGGAGAAGGAGAGGAGGAGGAGGATGGAGGGACACAGGAAGGACGGGCGCACTCCAGGCACATCGTATTTTTCCAGAGCGATGTGCGTTGGCGCTCGATTCAAGTGCAAAAAACTGAGAGTAGGGCACGTCGGAGTTCGGGCGATTGTTCATCAACTGTTCTTGAGCTTGGCAATCGTGCGTGCGCATGTCGCGTGTGTACGTGTGTGTGTGTGTGTGTGTGTGTGTGTGTGTGTGTGTGTGTGAATGCCCACGTGTGTGTGAGTGCGTGTGTGTGGTGTGTGTGGGAGGGGGCAGGTACGTGCGTGGGTCTGCGTGTGTATGCGGGCCTCCGAGTGCGCGCGCGTTTGTTTGCGCGTGCACGTGCATGCGCGCGTGCGCTTGTGAGTTGTGCGCGATAGTGCGATAGTGGGCGAGTGGCGGGGGTAGTGGTGCCAGCGCGTCGACCCCAAACAGTCGGCTATAGTAACCCCGATGTGCAAGCTACGTCGCGCCCCGCAACGGCGGATACAAGTGAAGGCGCGGGCGGGCGGGCGCGGCGCCTGCGACCCACCCGCCTTGCGACCCGCCCGCGACCCATCGGCCCCACCACCCACTCGTCTTGGAAGGGCCCGAAGGCCCTTAAGGGCCCTAGAGGGCGGAGGGAAATATGGAAACAGACGCGGCGCCAACCTTAGGGCACCAGAGGGCCCCATCCATACGGCCAGCAAGCAGCAAATGCTAACGGCTGACAGCTGCAAGACACACATGCCAGTTCCCTAAAGTACAAGTAGGATGTGCAAGCGCTGTTCGTGGTAATCGCAGATGCTGCATGCGCATCGTGTCAGTTTGGTAGGCCGTGCGGTTCACAAAGCCCCGCCGCACCCCCACTAAAGTGCGGGACGGCTGCGCACATGCTTCCAGCTGTCCCGCTTCCGCGGGCATGGGGCCGCCCTCGACCCTCGAAACCCGCAGACTAAAGTCTAGGACCTAGGACACCAGTCTTGGACGGGCTCAGCTGCTGAGCTGCCGCTCAGCTTGGCCCAGGCGCGGGCGGCGCGAGCCCCTACTCAGCCTGAGACTTCTCAGCCTTCTCCGCAGCGCCCTCTGCCCCGGGCGAAGCCTCATCGTCAAGCCCGGCAGGCTCCTGTGGCTCATCCTCAGGCTTCTGATCTGGCTTAGCCTCAGCAGCATCTGGCTTATCATCACGATTCTCCTCGGCACCACCATCGGCCAACATCCTAACGTCACCCTCGCCCTTGACCTTCGGTAATTTGTCGAGGATCTCCTTCAAGGAGGCTTTGGCCGCGGCCCCCGTGGAAGAAGACCAGAGCGACATCAGACAATCATGCGAGTGAGACGACTTACCCGCTGGTCCTTAGACGGCCGATGCCAGGGCGGCTAGGATCAGGAAGACAGAACAATGGCGAGAAGTTGGCGAGAAAGGGGAGGGAGGAGGGGCAGGAGGGTAATGAGGGGCAGGAACCGCATAAACTCAAGCCCGACCTCAAGGGACCCCTCGCCAACAAGAGGGGGCAGGGAGAGGGTGGATGACGAGGCGGGGAATGGCAAAGTAAGGAGGTAACGACGACGACGACGACGACGACGACGAGGCACGAGGCACGAGGGAGAGGACGATCAGGAGTAGGGGGATGCGGAGGAGGCGGGGCAGGCAAGCGAGGAGGAACGATTATGTCGCGGTGTTTTCGGACCGTTCCCCAAACCAGATCAGGGGGCAGGCGGCGCAGGAAGCCGCAGGCTGTTGGATCGAGGAACGGGACCGACACGCCGAGGAAGCGCGTCGGCCCGACGGGCGCGGCGGTCGCCACGAGCCAACCTGGCGGCACCACCAGGGCCTGCCTCATATCGAGCGCGCCAACGTGACACACGCATCCGAGGTTCTTCACCAGCTCGCTCTTCTTATCCTTGTCCAGGTGGGCCTCGTCCATCATGAAATTGGTGAGCGCCTGCTTCATGGCAGCCACCGTGGCCACATGATGGTCATCACCGTCCACCTTCCCGGAGAGCTTGCGAACGGCTGGAGAACCGCTCAGCTCGGCCGCACTCATTGCGATCACCCTCGCGTTGCCCTCGCAGCATAGCTTGAAGACGCCAGCGAAGCGGTCCGCGAAGTCGATCGTAACGTCGAGGGGCATGGCCCCAAACAAGGATCCTGATAGAGGAGGCGACAAACAATGCATCACGCACGCGCGCGTGCGTGCTCTGCACAAACTACACGGACCATGCGCGCGCTGGCACTTACAACGGGCATGCTACATGTCCGAGCGCCGAGCGCTCGCTAACATACGATGTGGAAACAAAAACAAATCCAATGCGCAGTGCAGACGATCGCAAGACGATCTGCGCCCAAGAGGAGACCGAGGAGCAGCAGCAGCAGCGGCACGAGGAGGGCGGGAGGAAGGGGGGAAGGAAGGGAGAGGGGGTGATGGGGAGAAAAGGAGAGTGGGGGAAAGGGTTCGGATTCGGAACGAATGCGAAGCAATACCACAGACTTAGATTTTGCAACGATTGGTCCCGACTTCGGGCGCAGGCCCCGACTAAATCTGTGGGAAGGGGCGGGGATTGGGAGGGAAAGGAGAGGGGAAAGAGATGGAAGATAAAGGAACGAGGTCGGATCCTTCACGCAAGAAGTTCTGCATCCTCTCCGGCGGATCCTCCATCATCATCTTCTGCGGGATCGCCTTGCCGACGAGAGCCTGGAACTGCTTGAGGCCCATCTTCTCCCCGAGCCCTGCCGTCGCGTAAGTACAGTCGCGTCGCCCGGGTGCTGCTTGAGCCAAGCTCGACGACTTGCACTTCTTCTGGAAGGCGGTGTCCCACTGGCCCATGATCCCCACCACCAAAGGGATATCAGTGAACTTCTCCTTGCACTCGATGATCATCGGCGCGGTGATGCCGTTGTTCTCGATGAACTCCGACGCCGCCTCCACGGAGCTCAAGAGCTGGATGTCGACGTGGCCGTCAGACTCCGAGTATGGCGTGTACGCTCGAGTGATGAGCGAGTAGTGCTCGTCCGCGGTGAGGGCCTGTGCCGCAGCTGCTCTCCTGTCCTCCTCCTCCTTAGCCTTCTCCTCGGCCGCCTTCTGGTCGGCCTCTTTCTCCTTCCTCTTGAGGTTCATCGCCTTCTTGCAATCGGCCAGGCACTGTTGAGCATAGAAGCTCACACCCTGGAGCAAGGTCATTTGATGTTCGAATGTGGTGTTCACGTCGGACAACTCCTTTTCCGACTGCGCCGCGTTGCACTGCTTGACGAGCTGATCTTTGAAAGCCAAAACCTTGATATCTTTCAGGCCTATGATGGGCATATCCGAACTTCTGAGTAAACTGGCCAGGTGGAGCTCGGCTGCGGCGTAGTCCTTCGCAGACTTCTGCTCGTCATCCGAGATTGCCGACTTGTCAGAAGACTGCCGATGAGCAAAAACTCTGTTGCCCGCAAGTCTTCCCTTTGGATGTTAGGCCCAAGGAGGTGCTGCGAGGCGCGCCAGGCGCGCGAGCCCCGATGTCCTCGACGGCGACGGCCGCGAAGGCCTCCTCAGCCTTACCAGTATCAATCATCTTGGTCTTCATGACCTGACTCTGGAGGGCCAGCACGACATCGAACCTGTCAATCAAGGCATCGCACTCCCCAGTCGTCTTGTGATCGATGTTTTCCATAAGCATCTCGACTGCCTTCTCGCCCCACTTCTGGAGAACCTTTTCCTTAGCGGCGTACCCCTTTTGACCAGTGATCTTCCTGGCCATCGCGTTCCTCTGCGCGCGCACGTCGACCACCCTGGTCTCGGCCCCGGGCTGACCGCCGCCGCCGTCACCGCCACCGCTGGTTTCTCCATTGGCTCCTCCAGCAGGGGCAGACGCGTCCGTAGGTTTTTTATTGGCCGACTCACCGACAGCCTCAAGCAGCACAGTTGCAACTTCTTCAGTTGCGTTGCCGCTAGTGCGAGGCGCTTTCGGCGGGAGCATATTCATCTGAGCGGCGGTCACCCCAGACACTGCCGAGAAGCCCCTCTTGGTATCCTCCAATAGCTCAGCCTTCCTCTCGTCCTTGATGTTCTTGACGGTTTTGTTCGATTGCTGCGCCTCTTTCCTCTCGAACTCGTAGTTGTGTGTTCGCTCCTTGTCCGCGCCGACCAAGTTCGATGGGATGTAGTATCGCTCTGGATTCTTCGCATCAGGGCCGCCGTTGTCTGCGAAATTGCTAGCATCAGATGTTATATCATCCCACTTGGCCTCGGCCTTGGCAGGCATCCAGCCCCGTAGTGTCCTCATCTGCGTCAGGAAGAACTCCTTATCCCACTTGGGGCGGTCGCTCAAGTCGCCCTTCTCCTTCGCGGCGCCCCTGCTGTGCACGAACTGGGTGAGGTCCAACTCCCCGCGCGGCTTGCCAGTCCTCCCTCCAGTCTCGCCCTCGGGGAATTTGCTCTCGCACTCCGCCACAACCCTGTCGGCCGTCTGGGGGTCCCCGGGATACTCCGAAGATCGCTTCCTGTCCCCGAAGATCTTGCAGTAGCTGACATATTGCTTCGTGGTGATGCCCTTGGAAAGGTCGACCCCCTTCATCGCATTCCTCTTGATGCACTCATGGCACTTATTGTGAGTCTCACAATACCTTTTGTTTGGTTTCAAGGGTTTCCCAACAATAGGGCATTTAGCAGACGAAGCCTGGGCGGCCTTGCCTTTCTTGGCGGATGGCGGCCCTTCACTGCCAGACGCCCCATCAACCGAGCTCTCATCAGCGCCCCTCTTCTGGTTCCTTTCCACCAGCCGCTGCAGCCTGGGCGGCTGCCGATCACCGATCGGACTCGGCGGCGGCGGCGGCGAGCCATTGGCGTCGCCGATGGTCTGGATACCTTTGACGGGGGTGCGGTCTGCCGAGTCCTCTCCGCCCTCGTTCAAATCGAACGAGAAGAGGTCATCGCTGCCATCGCTGCCTGCAGGCGCTGTTGGAGCTGACATTGCCACGCAGATGTGATGGTGGGTCCGTCGCTTCTGAGGCGGTGGTCGCCCGGGCCGCAGGGCCCTCGGAGGTCCTGATGGACACGCAAAGGGCGAGCCATTTAGAGCCAAATGCGGCATCGGAGCAATGTTAGGGCAGAAAGGCAGTGGGGGCGTTGACGAGGGCCCGTTTAATTTTGTTTTCAGCTCGTCGTCAGTTCGTTTAAATTTGGTTTTAATGTCGTCTTAACTTCGTCTCCAACGGAGGGTGAAGAGGAGGGCGGGGAGGAAGTACGAAACTACGCAGTGACTGCTAAGCTGGGCGAACCCAAATAGGAGGAGGAAGCTGCTGAGGCTACCGATGACGCCGCCCTGTCAAGAGGGCGCTGGCACACTGGCCACGCGACTCGGGCCTGCGCCGAACCGCATTTTCGAGCCGCACCCCGCAGAGGCGACGAAGGAGGGCCCAACGACCCCGAAGCCCCAGGCCAACGCCGATGCACAAACGAGCCCACGCCCGAGGGGCTGAGCCAAAGCCCAGCGAAAAAGACGAGGGAATCCAGCAATGGCGACGAGACGCCAGGACTCCAGGAACAAACAAAACGGCCCAAAGGCCCGAGGCGAATCCAGCCGCGGCGACGAGCCAGCCAGCCAAACCAACCAAGCACAAGCACCACTCGACGATCGCAGGGCCGCGACGCGCGGCCCCTCAGCAGATCAGCCTTGCCTGCTATGCTGCTCTGCCCCTTCCCGTTTGTCCTCCCCGCTCCTCCCTGCGGTTTGCCTTCCTCGTTCTGTCTGTGCTCCTGTGCTGCTCTCCAAGTGCGAGTTGCTGCGTACTTGTTGATCGCTCGGCCATTTGGAGACTATGTTTATGCTTTGCTATCCATGTTGCCATGTTCCTGGGTTACCTCCTCATGAGTGGCCGAAGCTGCTGTTGTTCGGGCTGTGCTGGATGTTGCTATATATCGGATGCCGCTAACCGCGTCATGCATGATACTTGGGGATGTTTTGATGTTTTGATCTGTGATGCTGCTAATGATTTGATGCTATGCTTCGGGCTGTTGCTAACAGCCGTTTGCAAAACATGTTTATGCGTTGTTTTGTTGCGTTGCTGATGCTACTGCTGCTTCTGATGCTGGCGCTGTTGACGCTGCTTCTGCGGGCGCGGGGCGCGACGCCGCGCCTGCCTCAGGATGGCGGCGACGCCGCGGCGCTGGCGGCGCAGGCGCGGCGCCGCAGACACTGGCGAGGCCCTCCTGGCGGTGGGGAGTGGCGGAGAGCAGAGGCGAAGGCGGGTATGATGATGAGGAGGAGGAGGAGGGGGAGGAGGAGGAGGAGGAGGAGGAGAGAGGAGAGGAGGAGGATATTTGGGAAAGATCGCTGCATGTCTCGGGCCTGGAATAGGGGGGCCACTAGCAAATCGCGAAGAGCAGGAGGATGTGAGGGGGAGGGTCAGGAGGAGGAAAAGAGTGCGTGTGACGAGCGGCCCCCTCGCGTTGACGAATCCTCAGATCAGATCAGCCCTGTGCGAGAGGAAGTCGAGGAGGCATGGCCAGATGCCTCGTCCTCCTCTTCCTCCTCATTCCTCTTCCCTCTTGTCACTGTTCGTTCCTTCTTGTGCTCTTCCTCCTCCCTCCCAGGCCCCAGAGTCTGCCCTTGCCTCCTCCTCCTCCTCCACTTCCTCCTCCTCCTCCTCCTCCTCCTCCTCCTGATCCTTCTGGTTCGTATCGTCGTCACTGCATTCTTCAGACCTTTGCGTCGCGGCGTCGCGATGACGTCCCGCGTGAACCGACCTCGCCGACTCGGCGCACAAACTGCCGACCGCGCTCAGAGAAGCATCGAACTGGCAAAACGCCACTGCTACTCTACCACTGCTTTGGCTTCGCAACCTCACGACCGCGGGCCCTGCCCGGCCCTGCCCTCAATGAAATCCAAGGGCGCGTCGGAGGCCAGACACTTAGACGTCCGAGCTCCGAGCCTGGACTTTCCCAGACTTACACTTTCACAGCTGAGCCAGGCAATCTACGACAAGGGTCGGCCCCTGTGATGTCGGGACCCTGTGACCCTTTCGCGGGGATCATCCCCCCTCCCATCCTCCCTCCTCCTCATCGTCCTCATCCTCCTCCTCGCCCTGGGCCCTCAGGCACCTGCGTCGAAGTGGCAGCGGAGCGCTGGAGCCGCAGAGTTGCCTTTGAACAGCGATGTGTAATCGTCTACGCCCTACGCACAGCAATGCCACTTACTCTGGGTAAGTCAGAGTGCTCGCGCTGCCGCGGCTGCCGCGGCTGAGGTCGTCACAGGCCTCCGGGGCCGGAGCGCTCGAGAAGCCGACGCTGCTGGCTGCAGGCAGGGCGGGGGACCGAGCCTCGCGCCGCGGCTGCGGGCTGACTGCTGGGAGCGAACCCTCTCCTGCTGAGGCTCCTGCTGGCGCCGCTGGCCCTCCCGCGGCGGCGGCGGCCGCGGCGGCGGTGGCTATGAGATCGCGCCAGCTTTTGCCGCCATCGGGCATGTATTCCATGAGGATGTTCCTCCGGACGCTGTGGCTCATCACGAACAGGTACCAAGCGCTCAACACGGGTAAGTTAATGGCGTTGCCGTGGAGCCTGCGGCTCTGGTTGATGGTCATGCCCTCGGGCTCGAAAGCAATCCCAATGTCGTTCCTCCACGCAGCGTTGCTCTCGGTCTCGGTGCTGGGCCAGCCTCGGGCGTGGTTCAGCTCACTGTGCGTGAAAACGTGGCACTTCTTATCCGCTTTGTTCGATATGGCAATGAATTCGTGATTGCATCCTGCACTCGGGAAGTATGGCATAGCGACGAACCTCTTCCGTGGGTTCTGCGACAAGTCCACGCACATTGCCTCTGACTTCTTGGAGCCTCTCCGCTCGGTCGCCACCAGCTTCATGCACTGCTGCATGCGGAACTTGTTCGTGCCAGTCAGGTGATGCATGATGTCATCATCGATCATGGTCCTGGAACTCTGCTTGAAATTCACGCGGGCGGCATAGATCTTCTCTGGTGCATCCTTGCCGATCAGATCTCCCACGTCCTCGCGAGATGCCAGGGGGCGAATGAGATGCACGTGGCATTCTACGCTAGAGCCTGCCCCCTTCTTCCCCCGAAACACCGTCAACACCGTCGTGCCCATCAGTTTGGTCATCACCATCGTCATCGTCATCGTTGCCATCATCATCATTCTCATCCTCGTCGCCATCATTGTCATCGTCGTCACCGTCGTCGTCGTCACCGTCGTCGTCGCCGTCATCATCGTCATCAGCAGCAGCATCATCGCCATCATCAGCATCACCATCAACATCAACATCATCAGCATCATCATCATGATCATCATCATCATCATCATCATCATCATCTTGACCGTCGTCGTTGTCGTCACCGCCACCATCACCATCGTCACCGATGTCTGCGTCAACATCGCCATCGGCATCATCGTCGTCACTCGTCATCTTCGTTATCGCTGTCATCACCATAATCGCCATCCTCATCGTCATCGTTATCCTCGCCCCCCTTCCCCTCCCCCCACACTGAAGTGGGAGGGGGAAGAGGGAGGAAGACAGGAATGGGGAATGGGAAGGCAAACTCTAACGTTGTTGCCCCTTGCTGTCCGCGCCAGGGACGCCGCCGAATATCTTCAAGAACATGTTCTTGACCTCCGTCGGGTTCTCCGGGAGGAGGCTCGCCGCGGTCGCCGCGAGGCCGCCACTGATGAAGATCCTGGGCCGATGCTCTGGCCAGCCTATCTCCTGCCAAGGGAGGAGGGCGAGAGAGAGAGAGAGAGAGGAAGATGGGGGGATATGGACGAGCGGGTCAGAGAGGGGGGTGCGGAATGAAAACTACTGGGACCAGGAACTCACTGGAACCTTGAAGGTACAGTTACTGGAGTCGGACATGGACTGAAATCCAAACAGAGCGGGCGAGAAGGAAGAGGAGGAGGAGGAGGAGCAGGAGGAGAAGGAGGAGCAGGAGGAGCAAGAAGAGCAAGAGGAGGAGATCCGGTTTGCATATTTCCAGCAATCCTCTGGTGATAACCGCGCGAAGCGGATCCAGCGGCCCTTGCCAAAGTCTTTTATGGCAACATTCTCGTCGAACAAGTGGCTGTTCTCCAGGTGGATGAAGTCTGTCTGGATCTGGTTATTCATTGACTCAAAGATGGAGTACGGCTCCGACGCGTCGTGCGCCTCCTTCAAGTGACCACCTGCTGGGCAAAATGGCTGACAGCTGAAGCCCCCGAAGACGGCGGTGAGCGGGCGATGCGGGTCGTTCGGGTCGTCTTTCTCCCATGCTAGGAAGCACTGCGTTCCATGGATGAGGCGCTCCACCATGGAGTCCCTGCAGAACCATTTTGATTTGTTGCGGTCGATGTGGCATCGCATGTTGTGGAACGCCTTGGCCCTAACTTCCACGTCGGCATCCTTGCGGGGTCGCATGCTCTTGATCACCTTCCGGGGGGCCGCGGGCACCAAGTGTTGCAAGGACGACCAGTAGTGCAGCGGGCGCCTCCAGGATTGCAGTGCAACTTGCTGGCTCGTAGGGTTGTTGTCGCAGCCGTTCCAAACCACAAGCCACTCTGATGGCCTCGGCAGTAAATCGGACTGGTGCATGATGGAGCCGACGGCCCTCAGCGCGGCAACCTCTGTGAGCATCCCTGAGTAGTACGAATGCACCACGTGCCCGTGGGCGTGTAGATTCACGAAGCGGTCCGCGCGAGCTCTATATTCCTTGTCCAACGAGTTTGCACCGCTGGCCCGGCTGGCCCCAGTAGGCTTGAAGATGGCTGCGATCAGCTTTCGTGGCCAATCTCCAAAGTCATTGAACTCGCGCGGCCCAGTAAACTTATTAACACCGAGCCCCAAGGAGTCGTCGCACAGCTTCTTCGCAACCCATTCTGAAGATCCAATGCCTTTCCATTGCGCAGCTGGTTTCTTGATCACGCGGCCATCTGGTTTAGCACGCTTCCTGAAAGCGAACTTAGGAAGAGCCTTGGCCTTGGGAGCCATGCTGGGGCGGCGTGGGGGCCAGGGGCCCGGCCCCCACGACAACTGAGAAGGTTCGAGCCTTCGAGGCTTCGAGGCGAGCAACGAATGGCTGGATGACCCACGGCCGCGCTGTATGTTCATACCCCATTCCCCACTCCCCCAATGTTCATCGATGGCCCGAGCCCCAGGCCCACGCACGCACTTATCCATATGTCGAGAAGGAAGGAGGAAGGAGGGGGGTCTTGGACTCTTGGATAAGGGATCAGCTTACGCAAGAAAGGTGAAGGGTGTTGGGGGCTTTGGGGCGACACTCTTTCTCTTTCAAAGGTGAATGTCAGGCATGCCCCCATGCCCCTCGGACCCCAGCTGTGTCCTCAGGCGCATCACTGCCCCGACCCCAAACCCCAAGAAGCCTCCCCAGCAGCAGGGCTCCAAGGCAAGGGGACTGCGGACTGCGAGAGCCCCGGACCCGAGGGCCCCAGGGGCCCCAAGGTCAAAGTTGGAGTAGAGTAGAGACATACGGCCACTATGAGCATGAGCATGCCACACCAGCCTACCGCCCCGCCTCCTCCTCCGGAACCTCCGCCTCCTCCAGAGCCTCGTTTCCATCAAAAGGTGCTTTGGACAAGTCTTTTCGGCAACGTGTCCCATGAGCTCGATCTCGATCAATTCCCCAAGTAGCTAGTCGGATGCTCCGGAGCCCTCCTCTTGGCCCACGCTAACCTTGGAAATTGGGCATGCATGTGACGTTTGGCATTGGTCAGAGCTTGTCGGCTTCTTTTGGCTGCTTTCTGCTTCGTTCTGTTACTTTTGGGGTGATATGGCTACCGTGGAGTACATTCGCATCAGTTTAACCAGTTTCGATCAGAAGTGTAACTTCTGGCTACGTTTCAACACTTTTTACGATGTGTATGTACGACAGGCTCAGTTTCGATACATTTACTTACTTTCTGTTGTATTTCATACGTGTGAGGTAATTTCAATAACTTTCCAGCCTTTCCGATGCTGATTGTTACTTTCGGGTACTTTTGGGTGGAATCGGCAACGTTGTAGTGATTTTGTATAGTTGTGGTTGGTTTCGGCTCGATTTGGGTGATTTTGCATAATTTTGGTTGATTTCGTCGGAATTTGATAGATTTGCTATGATTTCGTTCAATTTGGCCCAAAATGGTTCGATTCACTGTCTGGGGGGGGCTAGGTGCGGGGAGAGGTGCGGGGAGGTGCGGGGAGGTGCGGGGGGAGGTGCGGGGAGGTGCGGGGGGAGGTGCGGGGAGGTGCGTGGAGGTGCGGGGGGACGGCTCTGAAACGCGAAATCATCAAATTCAATCAAAAACGTATGAAATCACACCAAAACAATCAAAATCAAGCAAAATGATGCGATTCGGTTCGTTTTCACTTGAAATGCAATGAAACAAATGATATCGAACGATTTACTGCAAAATCGTTGCGATCTGGGCAGAATGGGCGCTACAAAGCAAATCAAAGCTGATTTCGATGAAAACGGTATGAAACTGATTGCACGAGTGCTTTCTGACAGTTTCCGACCAGTTTGGGCAATACTGGACGATAATGGAGCGTGCATTGGCGAAATAGTGCGAACATGCGCGACTTGTTAACAAACGTTTGCGTCAGCACCTATAATCACCTGCACCGACGAAACGCGACCGAATTCCTTCGCCGTGTCAGCAAAACCGAACAAACAACGCGAACCCATATGATCTGGTGGAACAGCTACTGGAAACTACTGGAAACATCTAATTCAGCTCTGACTCATGCGATCTCGACGAAATTGGTGCGATTTCGTGCGATTTCGTCGCTCAACCCCCCATTCGTGAAAGACTTGTCCGGTCGCGTTTTTGCAACCCTTAAGGGTCCCACTGGTCCTCCGGAAACCCCCCAATCCACCTTGAGGGGAGCAGCCCTTACATGATCGTTGGGATCGGGAATCGGGAGAAGGAAGATGGGGGGCAGTAGAGTAGAGCAGATAGCCCAAGACAGATCAAAGATCAGAGGCGGCTCGCGGCGGCCTGGCGGCCTGGCAGATCTACTGCCGCTCGCTGGAGGCGCTGCAGCTCGGCGGTGCGCCGCCGCGGCGTTGACGCGCTGCCGGCAGGAACCTCCCCCGCCCCCGACCCGAGGAAGGAAAGAGGGTGAGGAAGGAAGGCGCTCAACTCAATATGCTACAGCCGACGCCATCGCCGCCATCAACGCTCGCCAAAGTTGCAGACTCATGGAGTGACTCATGATCGAAACCTAATGTTCGCCAGCTGATATGATGCGGAGGGGGTGGGGCATGCCTACTCCAAACACCACATGATTTCCTAAATTTCAACCGAAGCTGGCTACTAGCATTGCAACTTTAAACCTCTGGGTCGAAATCTAAAGTTATATTGGAGTAAGCTGCTGATGGTATACACTGAGCACCACCACGCGATGCTATCATATCTCGCTGCATGCAAACGAACAGTGCTGCTTTGCTGCCCGACTGCCCACGCCCACGCTGAGCTGTCCTCAATCCCAATCGGTAGCATCCAAGTCTTCCAATTCTTGCCTCAACTCATCGGCGGTTCGAACTTCATCGTCAGGGAGGGTTCTGGGAAACGCCATGCGTTCGCCCCTGCCCACCTCGCCGAAGCCCTCGACGCACCACCACAATAAGAAATGTTCGCATGCCTCCTTGCTGCCTGCTTTGCTAAATCGGAGTGATCGAGTACACTTGCCGCCCTCGCTGTGGCCCGGGATGTAGCAATGAACCTCCCATCCGTCACGGGCCTCCCGAGGGCCCGTTTGGCTCCAGCGAAAGTGTTTGTAACGTTTGGTGTCCCAGGCGGGCCCCAGCGGTTCGCGTGGAGGCGGCGGAGGCTCTTCTTCTGCAGGCGGCACGGGGGGCAGTGGATCAGGCGAGGCAACTGGGGGAGCCGCTGGGGGTGAGCTACTTGATGATGAGCTGCTGCTGCTGCTGCTGCTGCTGCTGCTGTCGCTCCCTTTGCCTCCGTCTTTGCTGCTGCTGCTGCTGTCGTCGCTGTCCCCGCTGCCGCCGCCGCCGCCGCCCGACGGCGACAGTCCTTCCCCTGCGTCGGCGCCAATCATCAGCGGCTTCGGCTTCGGCTTAGGCTTCGCTTGCTTAGCCCGAGGATCCCTCCGTCGCTTCTTGCTGGGAGGCTCAACTTCACCATCGGCGATGCGGAATCGAAACTTCCGACTCGCAGGACGTTCGGGGAGTGGATCGCCCTGCACGAGTGCTTTGTAAAATTTCTCTGTCCGAAGATGGGGCACGTCCTCGAGGAGATCCAAAACGAGGCTAGCCCACCGTTCCCCCCTGTTTCGTTTTAACCCCCATATGGTATTTGGCCCCGTGCGTGAGATAATTGGCGTTTAAGCGTTGTTTTGCATTCCCAACCGATCCTTTCCCTGCCCCGGGACAAGCAGCAGCGCGCGCATGTGCCATGTTTTGAATTTCGTATCTTTCTTGCATATGAACCAATACTTAGGCTTGCCATTCTGGTAGGGGGTCTTGCTGTCTGGCGTGTCCCCCAACTCATCGTACTCGGTCCCCCCCTTGCAGATGCATGTCCAGCCTGTGCGGCTGAGCTCCTCGCACAGTTCAAAATCAGTCATATCAATGATGCGCTCATCCCTGATGGCGACAACTGGCCTCGGGCTCTTGAGGACAATGCCGACTTGGATTTTTGATATGCCCAAAGGGGTGAGCTTCCACGTCGTGAACGTGGGCGCGGCAGCCAACCTCAAACAGAGTCCTGCCTCTGCCAATTGTTCCAGCAGCGTCAACTTGGAAGGAACACTCGCGACATCACTGCTGGTTAGCATGAACTCTGCGCCGCCCTGCCCGGCTGACTCTTCGTCCGAACTTCTGCACAGCGAGTGCATGATGTCTGACCGCGCCTTCTCAAACACGTCTTGTATAGGGAAACCTTCTAAGAAATACACCATCTCACTAGCAACAGACCAGGACTTCATTGACCTTATATCTGAAAACTGCAGCATTGGCAAGGACAACGTCTGAAGAGAATTCAGTGTCAAGCCGTCAGGGCTCTCTAATAAAAGTATAACCGACTCCTTCTTGTGATCATACGCCCTCAGGGCCATCGGCTGAATGACGATTGAGTCTCCGACTGCACGAGTTGCAAAAGCTGGAAGCTTCGACCGTGCAGCGTTAACGTGCTGAACCGAAAAAAATAAAATGTCGCGTCTGTTTCCGAGGTTCTGGCCGCCCGCGGCGCCGCAAATACGTAGAAGGTCCTCTTGCAACTGGTGATATCCATCGTCGACATCGTCTAGCAATGCTGGACCACTGTGAAAACCAAAAGAGCAATGCACTATGTTCTCTGCATCCAGCACAGTGGAAAGCGATGTCAGGAAAAGGTCGGCTGACTGAGAAAGCCGCGGGCCCAAGCTGAAGATTTGAGGGCCCTCCTGTTCACCAGTAGCCAGATCGCGCCAATGCGAGAAAAACGCACCGCGCCAGAGTTGGTCATACAGCGAGCCAGAGCTGCCTGGAACATCAACTTGTATCACAGGCCCTGTCCCCACATCTGACTCTTCTGCGTTTGCAAGGCAATTCGCATGAGACAGACCTCGCACTTGTCCACCCCCCGTATACTATCTGCAGCGGCGGCACACAAAACTAAAAGAGCGAGGGGGCCGGTTGTGAAGTTTTGGAGGTCGACCCTGAGGTCTGAGGTGGTTTTCGGGGTTCGCTTTATTAAAACTGTTTTCCTTTAGCTTAGTTGGTGCATTCTGTCGGCACCAATGGCCCCTACTGTAAGTAGGTGAGTGCGGCTGGCTCTGCTGAGCTGCTGGACGCATTTCTTGGGAATCAGAGGAACCAGAGGGGGGGGGTAGGGGGTAGGGGGCGACAACTTTCTTTGACGGCCCCTGAGCGGCTCAGACGCGGAGGCTCCCAAGATCCCCAAGACCCGAGGAGACTCGGCCACGCCGTCGGCCGTTGGGGCCCTCGGGGGGTCGGCTCGCTCAGCGACTCAGGCTGCGAGCACGGCTCGCAGGCCGCAGAGCTTCAGAAGTCCACCGGGGGCCCTCCTCTGACCTCCGGAAACGGTCAGCCGACAGGGAGACCAGTAAAGGGATCCCAAGAAACTCTAAGATCCTCAGGACGGTGTACATATATAATGAGCACACACACATATATTTATATATATATATATATGTATATATACACACACGATGTGAGCGAACGATGTGCATGCAAATCTATCTGATTTCGGGAGCGCGCAGACGGTGGCTGGCAAGAACCCCTCTGCCCGGCCCGTCCGTCGGGCTCTTGAGCGGCCAGTATTGCAGCAGCGACGTCACCATCGCCGCGATCATCGCCACCGCCACCTCCCCTTCGCCATCACCCCACCATATCGCCATCCCTAGACGCCCGGACCGCCCCCCAGCGGCGGTGCAGGACGCCTGGATCGCTGCCGCCATCGGCGTCAGCTCCGCCGACATCAGCATCAGCGAGGGCTCCGCCTGGGCGAGGCGCGCGGACAATTGAGAGCGGGGGAGGGGGGCAGACATATCAATTCAAGCGTGAGGCTACTATTCGGCCAGTGGGAGCTGGAGGGGAAGGAGGAGTTGGAGAAGGAGCTGGAAAAGTATGAGGAGTAGGGGGGAGGAGTTGCGACGACCCCAGGATGCGAGCCATTCGGTCCCCTCTCTGTCTCTGTCTCTGTCTCTCTCTCTCTCTCTCTCTCTCTCTCTCTCTCTCTCTCTCTCTCTATCCCTCGCTCTCCATCTCTCTCTCTCTCTCTCTCTCTCTCTCTCTCTCTCTCTCTCTCTCTCTCTCTCTCTCTCCCTCTGGGGGAGCGGATTCCTCCCCCTCCTCCACCCCCGGCCTCCAGGTGCTCAAGATGGACCCCTGAACGGGGGCGGCCGCAGCGGCCTGTTGTCGCGGCCGCCGCTGCTGCAGGGGCGCCGCCGCCGCCAGGGCCAGCTCCCGCGGGTCCTCCGCTCGCGGAGCGGAAAAGAACAAGAGGGGGCAGCGCTGGCGGCGACGACAACGACGGAGAGGAAGGGATGGAGAGGGGAGGACGGGGAAAGGTGACAGGCAAAGGCAAGGAGTGAGGGGGAAGTGGAGGGGGTCGCGAGGAAGGAGTGCAGGGAGAGAAAGAGAGAGAAAGAGAGAGAGAGAGAGAGAGAGAGAGAGAAAGAGAGAGAGAGAGAGAGAGAGTGGAATGGAAGGACCCGAAGGGAAAGTGCACGGCAACAAAACGGTCACACTTAGGAAACGGCCTCTCTGGCTCAAACTTGCCTCGGAGCAGGATTCCCAAGAATGCCCATCGTCTACGGTGGATGTACATTTGCACATACTTACATGCGTACAAACATATTGAGCAGACATACACAACAATAGACACGATGCAGGGGCACAATAATGTCACCCACGCGGCCCGCGCGTGAGGGCCGTCGAACATATCGGGGCTTGCACTGCAAGCCCCGATATGTTCGAGACGAGGGATGTCGATGCTCAACTGTGTGCATAGATACGTGCGCGCGTGCAACTACCGACGTTCGCTGCCCCACCAAATCCTGTAGCCCCTAGCCCAGGTACGTCGCCGTGAAGTGTGCCCGGGTCAACGTGGTAAAGTAGTTTGATTAATACTTTCCGCAATCTCCGTGTAGAGATAGCTCGTTCGCGACCACGTGTGAATGAGAGGCCACGCAAGGCAGATTGCACCCCAGGATGTTGCCAGAAACCCATCTCTTGAGTTGCCGAGAACATATTGCTAACCTTTTGCATGTGCCTAGCCAGACTCGCAAGGATACCTGTATCCTTCTCCACTTCTTTCGCAATTATGGGCGCAATTGTGTTGAACGCAAGATGCACTGGCCCAGCTCTGGGCGCGACCCTGAAAACCTGTGCCGCCAGGTGGTGGCGCCCTTCAATCCACCTTTCACTTACAGGGATGAACCTGAAACGAGCAGCAAACTTCACCAGCCGAGGATATAGATCAGAGCGTATACGAGATTCACCATGGCAAGTCGAAAACCGCACCATCTCCTCGTAGCATGGCCCGTCTGGATGGCAGAGCGTCACAGACAGAGGGTGGTGCTGACTTGGCTCTTGGGGGGCGCTCTCGAACAGACGTAGGGATCTCGCGGCGCTCTCACGAGCCTTATCCAAATCCCCATGTGCGATGCCGACTAAGCACCAGGGGAGCTCCAACCAGTGTGAGAATTTCAATTGAAACCACATTGTGAAGTGCGCCTTGCCGCGAGTGAAGTCGCCGATAACTTCGCTACGGTCATGATTCGTCAGCTTCGACATGGAAGGACGCAGCAACATGTGAGAAGTTGCTTTCCTGAAGAGCTCTTGCAATAAAACGAACAGGTGCCCAGTCGCACACGCAGGCGCCTGACAGCCTTGCATCGGGCACTGGATGTGCTTGTCCTTCCTGCCGCGACGCTCCTCTGCCCCCCGGATCGGTCGATCTGCGCCGTGGCAAGGGCACGATTCCGCCCAAAACGAGACGTGGCCCACAACTTGCCCGATGGAATCCACCATGACCGAATAAGCCCACCACCAATCGCTTCTCAGAGCATGGTCGGCCACGCCGATCCTCAAGCTCTGCTCCCCTGGCTCGCGAGTCGAACCCCCGAACAGTTGTAGGGGCCATCCTGCCCGCAATACCCGTTGCAATGGGAGGAGTTCCGAGAGGGCTACCAAAATGGACCCCCACCTTCCTTCGTACACTTCCAGGCTGAAGTCTTCTAGTCTGCTTTTGATGTGGTCGAAACAGGGGTTTGTAAAACAAGTTTGTAAGAGTCGATCTTTGGACCATTGTCTTGAAACTAATCGGCGCACATGCTTCAACCCACGAAGCCAAAAAGCAAAATGGTGCAGCGAATCCCCTAGCTTCTCTGTCATCCCATGGCACACGTGCAGGATACCAGGCGCGAGCAAAGATTGACGAAAGTCGAGCGTCCATGGATCACTGGGGAAGTTCCAATCACCGCCCTCCCATGGAATAGGGGTCCCGCAAGCTGGTTCCCCCTCAGGATCCGCAGGGCAACTTGGGGCGATCTGTCTGTCATCCGCGGCGTCATGGAAATCGAACTGCACAACTTCGGATTGGGCCTCAGGCGGCCCCGGGGGCACCTGGTCTAAGCCCAACGGCTCGTCGACCGAAACGTCAGGGGGTTCTGCGGCAGGGGCGTCGAAATCGAACGAAGATTGCGCTGCGGCCGCAGCATCGCCCCTCGGCTGGCGAAAGAAGCCCTTCAAACCTCTAAAGGACGGGCCTGCCTCCTTGATCCACTCGCCATGCGCAGCTGTCATGGGCGCAGCAAAGCGCCACATGCCACTCTCAGTCCCCAGATCTCCCGTCCAACTACAAGTCGAGTTAAGGAGACGGCCACATTGCCCCCGTCCCGTTGATAGCATGCGCTGGCAATGAGAGAGAACTTGCACCTTCCTAAGCAAGGAGGCCTTGGCGCTGCCCACGGCGCCAGCGACGCCGGGCTGCCATGCCATCGTGTCCGACAGCATGTCGAAGGCTTCCTCCCCTGCCCTACGAAACGAACGGCAAGAGCTGGCAAAGGGGGGGCTTGAATATGCTACCTGCGTGAGATCCCCCTCACTCCCTCCGCCGCCTCCTCCCTATGACCTTCCCGCCCCCATTGCTCCTCGCCTCCTTTCGTCACCCACTAGGGCTCGTGCCCTTGCCCCCGGGAACGACTGTCGACCCGCTTTGCCCGCGAACCTCGCGAGCCCGCGCCCTGGCCCAAGACCCATCGACAACATCTGAAGACAAGAAGGCGTCTGGGCCGCGGGCCGCGCACGGAATGCATGAATATAATTGCACGTGGGGCGTGCTGGTAACGAATGTTTGCTACGCTATCGTGCTACCCTTACCGCAGCCCCCTCCATCCACCTGCCCGATCGCCCGATCCCGCCTGCTTAAGATCATCAGAGCATTGGCCCGTGCTATCGCATAGTATATCTGCTGCCGCAAGAGCTTCCTCCAATTGCGAATTTCCGATGATCCTGAAACCGTTGAGCAACCAATCGTATCCGTGCTGGGGGCTGCTGTCCACGGTGCGCCACACAGATACGCCCTCTGGGTCCATTAACAAAGCATCGTGCTTCTCTCGCAAATGCAAGCACCAAGCTAAGTGAACGGACAACCTGTGCACCACGAGTGTGTTGCCACGCGGGATGCGACGTATCTTGAATTGTTCATCAATCCACGACTCCATGGAGGGGTCATCCGTGATCATTTTACCCATCATCTTCGCACAGGTGACAATGTGCTTCGACTGCCTTAACATCCCTGAGGCAACAACAGCAGTTACAAGCATTGTAAACGAGTATGCGCGCTCAGAGAGCGCCAACCGATCAAGAATACTATTTTTGCGCCTTTGCTCAAGCCATGCCAATTGATCTTTGATGGGCGTGGCTGGTGCACTGCCGTTCGCGAGAGCTCGAATCGTATCTGCGAGCGACTGCAAGGTGTCAATCAAAGGAGCATCTACAGTTGACCGAGGGCCTAGAAAAGGGACAGCAAGGTCGGCGGCCAACTTCTGCGCCTCGTCGGCTGTGCCTACTAGCTGCTCGACAAGATGCAAACCACACCTCTTCCACATAATCCTCTGTGCGAGCGGTATGCCCCAGACGTCGAGGCCACCATGGCAGATCAAGCACGCAAACGAAACTGGGATGGAAACAGTAAGTGACAAGCCTACGGCCCCAAAGATCCCCGCACCAAATTTGCCCGCCCAACTATCCAACGCATCCGCCACTTTATCAGTAGATCCAGAGTGTTTGCAGGAACTGCCAAGTAGAGCATCGATTTCAGATGCGATAAGATTCTTGAAAATACATCGCATTCTGGTTTCCGCGTAGCTGAAAGAAACAAGCATTGGCTCCGACAACTCCAAGACGGCAACTTGTCGAATCAGCGGGCCCCCCGAGGGCAGAAAGGCATCGGGGCGCGCGTTCCTAACCAGCACGCGATGGGGAACACGCAGATCACAACTCAAAACTCAAAACTAAAAGTAACGAAGGGGCCCAATCGCAGACGCCCAGGGGCCCAGGAGAGCCGAAAAGCAGAGCGCGAAGGGCGGCCATCTTCGCACCCTGGGAAAAACGACTCTCCCTCCTTCTGGCTGCCCTACCCCCTACCATCCAGGCTTATCCTCACTCCTCCTCCGCAGACGCCCTTGAGTCTGGCGGTGCGTGACGATCCGAATGCGAGGTCTACAATGCTACAAGGGAGGCCGCAAGCTCCCGCATGAATGCGATGGGGCGCCCAGACATCTTGGTCACCAGAAAGAAATCTTTCACGGAGCGATGCTCTGCGGTGAGAACCTGCATGATATCATCGATCAAGTCGAGCTTCCAAACGACTGCCCCGATAACGCGCCCTGGAAGCTGGGGCGAGAACTGCTCTCTCCATGCGCTGGCCGAGTCGCGCGGCGAAAGCGAACCCAGTTCGACCAGCCTATGCCCGCCCGGCCCGCCCAACCTGTGCAGAGACGCCCGCACTTCTGAAGGGAAACAAATCTCTGCTGGCAACCGCCGCCGCCCATGGCCGATCCGCGCCTCCGGCCCCTGGGCATACGCCCACGTGGCCACCGACATGACCCGCGGGGTCCGGCACGGCCCGGCGCCGCTCTCGCGCCGAGGAGGAGGGAGGGGGGCAACAATGGCCGAGTCGCGGAGGGAAACGACTGGCACAGGGGCAGGCTCAGCGCACTAAAGTCAAATACCTAATCCTGTGACTCCCTGGGTCCCTGGGGCATGGGATGATATCACATGGGGTTCGAACTAAATTCAGCTAGCAATGAGAATAACTACATGGAAGTGCGGGGGGGGGGGTCACATGGGACCACCAACCAACTACATGGGGCCTCCGCCCTCTCCCCATGGACCTTCGTCAAAAGTAGAGGATCCGATAAGGCGCGGAGATGTCTTATTTGCCGATTGTCGCGACTACGTTCCTACAACACTGGTTTGAATATATGTTGCATCATTTCCAATATCGTCGGAACTCCATGAAGGGGTCGAGAGCTCCAGGGCCCGCGCCTGAGAGAAAGTCAACAGATCGGAAGGTTTGGAACACTTAGGAACTCCGACGGCCTCCCCCCCAAATCACATGCCAAATTCCTCCTTCTCCTCCACGCCTTTTCTCCTCCTTCCTCCTCCCTCCTCCCTCTCATGTGCGCCGTTGCTGTTCCCCCCCCTAGTCCTCGTCCCCTGACCTGCCCTCCCCCGCTCCACCTCAGCCTCCTCCTTCTCGTTCCCTGGACCTTGGCCCCAGTTGCCACCTGCCACTGCTGCTCCTGCTGCTGGCGGGGGGAGGGAAGGCAGGGGCGGACGAGGGCGATGAGGAAGAAGAAAGCGAGGAAGCGCTGTTGCTGACGACCACGCGGCAGCGCGTCTGACGGGCCTCTCCGAGGTGGGGGCTGTCTCTCAGTTCGTGTCCGCCTTTACGGAAGGATTCTCAACGAGAATTCCTCCTGCCCTCAACCTCTCAATCTCCTGGGAACGGCGGCGCTGATCCTGATCCTGCGGTGGAGGGGATCGAGCTGGGAGGCTCAGGGGGGGAGGATGAGGGGGAGGAGGAGGGGGGGCAGCAGCAGCAGCAGGAGGAGAACGAGTAGGAAATGCCCTCCTCGATAATGGCCTGCTGGATGCGCTGGATCGCGGCGTTCACTTCGAGACTCGACTGGGGAGCCCGGGGAGCCTCATGAGGACGAGCGATCTCTCACTTCGAGACTCGACTGGGGAGCCCGGGGAGGCTCATGAGGACGAGCGATCTCTACGCGCGGGCTTGCTGGTGCTGGCAGTGCTGGGAGTGCTGGCAGTGCAGGTGGCGTTCGCGGGATCCCAGTCAACGGCGGCGGCGTCTGTGGCACCCCGGGCGGGCATCGTGGCGTCTTGACTCGTGGGCCGACGGGTGGTGGTGGTGGTGGTGGTCCGACTGGTGGGGCCCAGACTGGTGGTCCTCAGGGTGGAGCCGTGACAATGATTGGTGGCCCGCCCGTCCCGATGAGTCGTCCGACGCCTCCGCCGACGACCCTGGGGTCAGTTGGCAGCTCGGCGATCCAACAGTTGCTGACTCAGCAGTTGCCGCCTCAGCAGATGTTGCAGCTCAGACGCAGCCACAGCAGTTGCTTTGGCCAAAGCTGCCGCGGCTTGCGCCGAAGCCGAAGCAGAAGAGTCAGCAGAAGAAACAGCAGCCAAAGGCAAACAAAAATAAACGTCGTAAGCAGCCGAAGCCACCAGCGAAGAAGCAGCTCAAAAAGGTAGCAAAGAAACATAAGTTTCAACGAGGGGCCTGGCAGCCACCACCTGGTTGGAATAAGAGAGGAGGCGTGAAGGAAAGAGCTAGGATGGAGAGGCAGCAGCGGAAGATGCATGATGGTGCCGAGGGCTTCTGTCCCTGCTGCTGTCCACGGCCTCGCTGCTGCTGCGGCTGCGCCTCCTCCTCCTCCTCCTCCTCCTCCTCCTCTGGCCCTCGCTCCTGCTGTCGCTCTTGCGCCGCCTCCTCCGCCTCTCTCTCTCGGGCCCCGACCCCGATGTTTTCCCAGCTCTGGCTGGGCTCCGGCCCGTGGCTGGACGGGCGCCGCGCCGACGCGTCGCCCCGTCTGAGCCACGATCGAATGCGCAGCGGCCCAAGGGAAGAGGAGGAAGAGGGGAAGAGGGGAAGACGAGGAGGAGGAGGAGGAGGAGGAGGAGGAAAAGGAGGAGGAGCAGCAGTGCAGGGAGCAGGGACGAGAGGGAGGAGAGGGAGGAGAGCGAGGGGGGGAGAGTGAGAGTATAGCAGCACTAGTAGTTGTAGTCGTAGTAGTAGTAAGTCGTAATAGCAGTAGTAGTAGTCGTCGTCGTCGTCGTCGTAGTAATAGTAATAGTCGTAGTCGTAGTTGTGGTCGTCGTAGTAGTAGTAGTAGTAGGAGGAGGAGGAGTAGTAGGAGTAGTAGTAGTAGCAGACGTAGTAGTAGTACTAGCTACTCTACGGATACAAGAGGGGGGTACGCATCCTCTCCACTACGCATCCTCGGTCTCCTCAGCCTCCTCCTCCTCCTCCTCCTCCTCCTCCTCCTTCGTCGTCCTTCGTCGTCCTCGTCGCTCGTCCTCCTCTTCCTCCTCCTTCTCGTCCCTTCTCCACCTCCCTCCTCTGCCTCCTCCCCCCTCCTATTTTCTGCTGAGAGATCCCCCGAGGTGGTCGGAGATCTCGTCCACTACATCCTCCTCCTCCTCCTCCCCCTCTTCCCTTACCTTCCTCCTCCTCCGATTTCCCTTTCTCTTCAATCGCTCTCTTTTTAACCTTTTCTATCCGATCTCGTTCAAAACTTGAACGTTTCTCTCCAATCCACGCATGACTTGTCCACGGCGGTTTCAAGCATTTTCCACCTCCCTGAGCAACTGGCCCGCGTCGTCCTGCACACTGGCCGCTCTAGCCGCCGCCGTTCCCGGGCGCCCCTCCACGGCGGTGCGGAAGCCAGCGACCCCCGGAAGGGGAGCGTGCGAGAGGAGGCCTGCAGCTGTTCACGCAGCTCGCCCCGGAC